GAGAGAGAGAGAGAGAGAGAGAGAGAGGGAGGGAGAGAGAGAGGGAGAGGGAGGGAGAGAGAGAGAGAGGGAGAGGGAGAGAGGGAGAGGGTGAGAGAGAGGAAGGGAGAGAGAGAGAGAGAGAGGAAGATAGAGAGAGAGAGAGGGAGGGAGAGACAGGGTGGGAGAGAGAGAGTGAGAGAAAGAGAGTGAGTGAGAGAGAGAGAGGGAGAGTGAGAGGGAGAGAGTGAGAGAGAGAGAGAGAGAGGGAGAGTGAGAGGGAGAGAGAGAGAGAGAAAGAGAGAGAGAGAGGGAGAGAGAGTTATTTTAAAGGACATTCAGCAAATACAACATAGTACATTATCATTCTAAGATGTCATTTTTTAGATGATTTTACTTTTTCCCCTTCTGGACACTCCAGCAACACATTTATTGAACTGTTAAAGAGGGGAAACATTTGTAAGAAAGGTCAAAGGTTAACTGAGTTTTATTTTGACTTTACTATGATAATCATTTCTCATATCAACAATCTTAAAACCTTATAATAAATCTTTTCGCAACACATCTGGAGTGTCTTTGTTTTGGCTGGCCACGCTTGTTACATAACGTTATGTAAGAAGTTCCACTGACGCTCGTTATTTATTAACACGAGTTACGTTGTCACATTATCATTTTAACACAAACCACAATCTTTTTTCCCCCCGTAACCAAGCAGCCTAATCCAAACGGATTGTTTCACAGCGTTAACCATGTGGCATCGTGCGTTTCTGTACACGTGATACGAGGCCGACATTATTTGCTTTCTTAGGCCCTGGTTACACCGAGACGCATCACTCGAAAAGCGCCGCCTGCAAACTACGTTTTGCTGTGGTACGGCTCGTGCTTTTCTTGCGGTTTTTAGACACGCATAAAAGTTATAATATTCTCAACTTTTCAGCTCCAGGCGCAAAGTTGCTTGCCAATGTTACATTTGGCCAAAGGCAACCAATCAAGGGCCGTCCTTCAATCAGAGGATCGGCGGTTCGATCCCCGGCTCCACTAGTCACATGTCGATGTGTCCTTGAGCAAGACACTTAACCCCAAAAATTGCTTCCGTAGCTGTGCCTACGATGTGATAGAATCTGAATTGTAAGTCGCTTTGGATAAAAGCGTCTGCTAAATGACATGTTGTGATAGTCCCATTGAGTGAGGGAGCGAGCACATTAACCCTTTTCCTTAATTACATATAATCTGTTGCGCATGCAGCCTTGCTCCAGACGTTCACCATGTCGGTTTGCCTGCAGTTTTTCAAGCGGCAGCGCCTGTAGCGACGTGTCGTGGTGTGATCAGCCCCTTCTACGTTTATGCTCTTTGGTTTCCTGATTCAGCGACACACTTTTTAAATGTTAAAGTGAGGAAAAATTGAAAGAAAGGTCAAAGGTTAACCCAGTTTCATTTTGACTTTACTATGCTCATGATGGTCTTCATTTCTCTTATCAGCAATATTAAAAACATTTAACCCTCTGAACCCCAAGCAGTCACATTTCACTTGATCTTCACTGCAGTATCAAAGTCCTCCACCTCTATGGAAACTGCAGTCATGGCTAGAAGCAGTGACTCAAAAACGTCTTTTGTGCAATATAACACAGTTATAATATAAGTTTTATATATGTATATATATATATATATATATATAAGCTATAAGTTGAATGACTTTGATCATTTGTTTTATTATTATTAATTATTATTCATTATTAATGTTTTTTAAAAAAGCAGGGTCTACGTCAGGGGTCTCAAACTCATTTTCACTCCGGGCCACATCAGCATCATGGTCGCCCTCAAAGGGCCGGTTGTGTAAATGTAACTACTCGTAACATATTGTTAAATAACTGTCTCTGCATTTGATTATTGTTTATTCAAGTGTAAAAATATTGTACATGCAGTTATATAAATGTAAAAATATATTTCAGCACATTTCTGTTTCAACTTAAATCCTTTTAATTTAGGGTTAAGAAACCCACATTACTCTATCAAAGATCAAACTATTAAAGAACATAACAAAGACAAATATCAAACAAGTTATTACAATAACTTTGTTCAATGCTTAAAATCCTGTCAAGGGTGCGTTTGCACAATCCCACGTGAAGTATTTCATGTGTTGTAAAGACATGTTTAAAGTAGTCTTCAATGTACTCACAATACATTTCATGTCAAATATACAGTAAAGAGCTGCTTCTGTGACTGTGTGTTTAAGTATCTCATCATTTTGACTTTCAATCTCATAACTTCAACTTTCTATCTCATAATTTCGACTATGGGGATATTTTTATTATCAAGTCAAATTTAAAAAATATATATATATATATATATTTTTTTTAAACTTTTTTTTGTTTTTGTTGGCGGATTTGTGGGCCACATAAAATGACGTGGCGGGCTGGATTCGGCCCGCGGGCTGGGAGTTTGAGACCCCTGGTCTACGTGCTATATATATTGAATTATTTGCATTTACTACTGACAACCTCTCCTCTTCTCTCATCTCTGCTCTTTGCTCAGCAGCCTCAGTTTCACCAAATGTTCGTCACATGACTGTTGGTCTCAGGCGAATCAGCCATAGCTTCATAGTTGTGCTGAAGTGGTCAGAATTTGTGTCTTTCCAGAGGATTTTTGTTAAAGAAAACGGTTTATTTGGGCGAGATTTTAAATGAGAGATGGAGAATAAAATTTTTTTGATGAAATAACACAATTCTGAGCTTCGTTTTGGCTGCTTTTTCTGATGGAAGCATTTGCCACACATGATGTGTTCAACAACCGTCGGAAGGATGAAAATCGGACGTTTTTTACAGCTTCTGGCTGTGATAAACAGCATAGTTTTGGTGTTTAACGAAAACATACTTTTCAATATCGCCGGTGGGTTTTTGGGGTTCAGAGGGTAAATATTTTTACAATAAATCTGTAGTATTTGCTGGTTAAAGCAAATGCTGCATGTTCTCACCATGTAGCGTCAAACCCCTCGCATCAGTTAAACAAACGTGCCCGCTCTGCTCCCCAGACGCCTCGCCGCATGAATTAATGATTGGCATGAATTATAAATGTCGTGTACATATGTGCGCTCGCTCCCGTGTGTGCGTGCAACAAGGCAAAGGTATTTTATTTTTCCATTACTCCACCATTATGAGACCTCAGACGGGAAATTTCATCTGCGTATGAAAATTCACCGTATTTGTTATTGTCTTCTTTGGCATGCAGATTGCTTGTTGTGGTCACTGGGGAATATTTTTTCTCTCGCTCGTCCCTTCACAATTAGATTTCCTCCTCAAGCTGCTTTCTTATTACATTTCTTTGAATTATTGATGGTAATTAAATGGGGATTTCATCATCACAATGAATTACTGGAACAGGGAGGCGCTGAGTCAATATTGACACTTTGTCTGCAGGAGCAGATGGCTTTATGGGGAAATATGAAATATTTGTTGTCGTTAAGTAGCCTACATTTTGAGAAGTGAATTCATGAAATCATGTTTTATTTTAGTGCTGATGAGACAGTATGTAAGAAAAAAGTTTTCTACAGTGATGCAAATACATATCAGAGATTAATCTTCAGTTTATAACTTCCATATTTCCATCCCTGCTTGTTTCTGCAGGTGTCTGTGGCTGCTGTAAGCTCTTTCCTCATGTAAAAGTCAACGTTGATTTTTTTGTCATGTAACTTGCGTATTCACACTGTTTCTGTTTCCTGCCCCATCACCTCCCACCCCGTCCTCACCCAGGTTTTCGATGGAGTAGTATCTCTGTTTGCTGTCGACTCGGACCGTCTCGGCATAGGGGCTTCCCACTCCGTAGCCAATGATGTAGCCTCGAACCAGGATGTTTGGGCTGAGGGGCGGAGTCCAGGACATGATGATGCTGTTGGGCAGCGGCCTGACATGCAAGGAGCTGGGCTGGTCAGGAACCTGACTCTCTGCAGAAACACACACAATGACGCGTCAGACCTCAGTGTCTAGTGCCGGCTGACCTCCAGCACCGGCAGCTCTGAAGCTCACCGTGTTGGCCATAGCCGTTGCAGGTACTTAGAGCAGCCGTGTCCTACAGATGCTAACCCTGTTAGCTGTGTATTAGGCCCTAATAAGCCCTGACACTTTGTGTTATTTCAGCATCAGATTGGATCAGATTAGTGAGCTCTCTTGTCCTCGGGGGGGAGACGCTTCATATCACTTCATTGAGTAATAATCCATTGAAACAAGATTTCCGTCTCCCTCTGTCCCGTCCTGGAAACACAGTTAGCATGGATGTGTTTGTTTTTTTATCATCTCAGCTGCTTCCTGCTGACCAGGACATCCTCCTCCTGAGATTCAGCCTGAGGTCCACTTTTCTAATTATCCAATCGTCTGTTTGATGGCTGGTTTTCTCTCTCTCGCTCTTCAGTCATTCATGTACCTTTTTCAGTATTTTAAGCACTCATGAATATAAATAATGCGTTATAACAATAATTATATTTATTTATATGAGTGCTTATAATTATACAGTGCTATAAGACAATTACAATGCATAATAAGAATGTTTATAACACATTATAGACATGGGCGTCGTAGAAACATCCTCCTTAATACCCTCTATTTAGCATTTATTATCAGTATACAAACATTTAAAGAAATTATTGAATAAAAATAAAAATGTTATATTATTACAACTGCGTTTACTCTATTGCTGTACAGCGGCCTCCAGTTATGGTGCTGACTTATTCTTATTTCAAATACATTAATACAACACTTACTCCACTTGAAAATATATATATATGTATTCATCAATTCTTCATGTTGTTCTTTATGGGTTTTTTCACATCCTCAACAATTTCCAGGGATTTATTTTATGTTAAAAAGCCTACGCACCACTGGTCATTTCCATTGTGAGAGGAGAGGGAGAAAGAGTTTCTGTTCTGTGTCTGTTTTCTATAGAAATTGAATTCATTTTTTTGTGGGTTTGAAAAGACACTGAAATTACTTTTTATGTAATTGCTTTGTTACTGTACTTATCAACTATTTATTAAATGTTTATAGCTCATGAATACCAAACAGGGTAGTTTAAGTAAAGTGTTTCCTGTTTTTTATGTCTCTCATCAGTTCTATCTTTTAATGATACAGAAATATTACAGAATTGCAGCTTTTCTTTTTCATACTTTGTACAATCTTGTGAACTTTCCTCCCTCCTCCACCTCCCCCTTCTCCTCCCGACCTTCTCATCCCGCCTGCCCCCTCCTCCCTCCTCCCTCCCTCTTCCCTCCATCTATCCATCTTAGGTGGTTAAATATTCATGTGTGTGTCGGGACAGTGGAAGTATTTACATGCTGTTGTACAGATCACTGCTTTCACACTCTCTTACGGGCTCTCTCCGTCTCTGTTCTTACCATCCAGATCATTCTCCGGCGTCTCAGCGTTGAACCAGTCACTGGCCGGACCTGTTCCATTGGCTGTCATGGCTGCTACCTGGAAACTGTACTGACTGCCCTTATCTAGACCTGGAGAAAGAGAGAGAAAGAGAGAAAGAGAGAGAGAAAGAGAGAGAAAGAGAGAAAGAGAGAGAAAGAGAGAAAGAGAGAGAGAGAGAGAGAGAGAGAGAGAGAAAGAGAGAAAGAAAGAGCATGCTATTAAAACAGACATTTAGGTACCTTAAAGTGTCAACCTTGAAGATTTTCATCCACAGCTGTGACCGAGCTCTAGAATGTTGAGAGATGAAAGTTGCACAGTTGGAAGTTATTACAGGTGTCAAGGGTTCCTGCAGTGAACTCAGGCCTTGTTCATACGTACACGGGTCATTGTGTACATTTTTCCTCCTGCGTTCTAACTAAAATCCCATCCATGATAGCACTCTGTTCCTCAGTATAGTGGAGGAGTAGCGTGAAATGTACATTTATGTGTAAACATGTAAAAAAGATCTGTTAGCAGGTTATTTGGCCAGGCCCGCCAAACATTCATGGCAAAGTTGCACAGCATGTTGCCTCAGTAGCGACGCGTCACAAAGGATATAACGGTGCACACGCTGACATTAAAAGACAAAAACTCCGAAGTTTTACAAAAGCTCAGTTTTCAGTGACCAAAAACGTTGTTTGGGTATGGATGAAAGCTCAAAACACATACAAACATTACATTTACAAAAATGTCTGTGTACGTGTGGACAAAGCATCAATAACACTGTTAGGTGACTGACAATTGGAGTACTTTAAGGCTTAGCTGTACATGAAACTCTTCAGGCTGTTTTATCACAAAATATGAACAACTGTGTTGGTAAAAGAAAAAGAAAGTCAAAGGAACAAGCCTCTGGACATGAAAACTGCTGATTCTGGATCAGTCTCAGGTCAGGACTGGCAAGTTTCAAAGTCAAGACAGGCCAGTCTCAGGTCAAAACAGAAAAGTCCCAAGTCAAGACAGGCCAGTCTCAGGTCAAAACAGAAAAGTCCCAAGTCAAGACAGGCAAGTCCAACGTCAAGACCGGCAAGTCCAAAGGCAAGACGGGCAAGTACCAAGTCAAGACAGGCAAGTCCCATGTCAAGACAGACATGTCCAAAGTCAAGACAGGCAAGTCCAAAGTCACGACAGACATGTCCAAAGTCAAGACAGGCAAGTCCAAAGTTACGACAGGCAAGTCCAAAGTCAAGACGGGAAGTTCCAAGTCAAGACAAGCAAGTTTAAAGGAAAGACGGGCAAGTCAAAATTCAAGACGGGCAAGTCTAAAATCAAGACAGCCAAGTCCAAAGTCAGGAATAGCAAGTTTATTTAACTCATCTAAGGTAAGAAAATATCTGTAAGTATTCTTCATTTAAAGTGATATAGTGATGTCGAAAGGACTTCAAAAGATACACGTGTGTTCTGGAATATAGTTCTAGAGTCACTAATTTACTTGATGGAGTAATCTATGGAATAATCTGTGTGTGTGTGTGTGTGTGTGTGTGTGTGTGTGTGTGTGTGTATGGCTTCCAGCCATCAATGGGCATAGAAACACCCTGAATAATCTGTTTTCCATCGGAACAACACACAACCATTGCGTACAGTTGTGGCTTATCATAACCCCCATACTATTTTTTCCCAACTGATGCTCATCTTAGTTCTTCACTGCAACTTGATTGGATGCTGTCTGATTTGTTCAAACAACATGGATCAGGGGAATTAAGTTTCTACTTGCTGAACCCACAAACATTGAGTTCTAGTGTTAGTGCTGAATTAACAAGCTTGAAGGCAAACAAAAAGACAAGTTTAATTGGATGTATTACATGTCTCCTCGGCTGCAATTTGTCATGTTATTTATTGAAATTCAGTTTGTTATTCTGAGACAGTAAAAAGCAGTGATTATTGCTGACAGCCAGGCTTGCAGCGGGCAGATCAGATTCAACACACACACATGGACATGCACACACACACACACACACACACACACACACACAAACCTGCCACTGGGGAATGAGCTCCTGCGTAGATAGATGAAGATAACCATCAGTGGAAAACAATGAAAAGGGAGATCAGTTTCATTCAAATCCTGCAAACCTCAAATTGAAATAATAGCTGGTGGCAGTTTGAATACTGATACACACACACACACACACACACACACACACACACACACACACACACAC